TTACTACACTTGCTAGAACTGAGATGCAGAGGTTTACAATGACACTGCACCCATGATGACAAAATGCATTGCAACAATTTCAGGAACTCAGTCAAGTTCTCCCAATTTAATCATAAAGCAGTTTCCTATGCTCATACGTTCAACCATATAATGATCCCATCACAGCAGCAACTGAAAAAGAAAACCGTTAAACCAGAAATGTCTCATTTACACAAAGAAATGGCTCACAAATAACATGAATTTGTTTCGTCAAATGCCTTTTTTTTCTCCTCTCCTCTTAATTAATTAATCCATTAATTAATCGATGAAGATATTGTGCAGAGCTAAAAGATTGTGGGGTCTTTACACGGCATGAGTAAAGACATATTTGGTTCCAGCAGATACAAAATAATATATCTAATAATATATCTTTAAAACCTGCTGAACATACTTATACAGGGTAATTTGTGATACTGTATAGGACTTCATGTATATGGGAGGTCGTTTATTACTCCAAATTTTGTTTCAGGGAATTGAAAATCTTTAAGACTATTATATTATTATTATTAATTTACTGAGATAGAATTGTAGATTATGTGAAACGTTCCTGGTAGCACGTTAGGTAAGTGCGCACAGAAAGGCCCATACAGTAAACAAATAGCTAACAGAAATACTCTGGCCACAAGTAATAATTTCCAGTCCGACAATATTCGCAGTAGCTGTGCATTATCTAACATGTTACCTAATGCATCTATCGTATCGGTTGATAATACTGTTCAGTGTAAATGACAGTCTTTCTGAGGTAGACTGTTCCAAGTTCAAGGACAAGTCTCATTTTTTTTTCTCTCTCTCTTACAAACGCATGACATTCAAAAAGGACATAAAATAATAAATACTACATGTACAATATGTAGCAATGAGGTAGAAATGGTCACAAAGGATGCAACGAGTTTCTGAATTCACAACAGAACTGTGTAGGATAAAAGGATAAAAGGAACAAAAATCTGAGCGAGTGGCTAAAAAAAAAAAATGCAAATAAAAAATAAGCTTTTTATATAATAGCTTTAAGTAGCTTAACGATGCAAAAGAGGAGCATCTAAAAATACAGTACTGAACATTCTATTATTCTCCCTCTCAGTCCCCTCAGCAGAGCTGACCCAAACTGCCTGCGTTGTAGCTATCATAAGGATTCACATCCACATCCTTCCATTTTAAGTCGAACTGCCTTCCACGACGCTGCTGTGTGTTGTATTGTATTGTATTGCATTGTGCTACACTTCGAGTGTTATGTTTTAAGAACCGGGATTGGGGAGGGGGTTTGGGGGGAGAATGCCGAATGGCAGGAACTGATTGACTGGACCGACTTACTGACTGCGACTGGAACAGCTGATTAGGGCGAAGGGGGGGGAGAGAGGAGGTAGAATTAATTGTAATTAATTATAAACCTGCCTACCTCTTCGCCGTGAGGTGTAATTTTGTGTAACATTTAACGATGAATCGCCCCCCCACCACCCCAACCCCCCCAAAAAAAAACATAATATAGACTTCAGTGGCCCTGATACACTGCGTCCAGCCTCTCTGGGCTGAATGACCACCAGTACAACATTAAACCTATTTACACTTCCAAGAGCGTGCGAGTGCTGATGCTGGCTAAAGAGCTTTTACAAATCAAACTCATTTCACATTCCACTAATTAGTTGAGATGGTGCGAATTTAAATTAGCGTCAGAAACACTGATCTGTTAAGGGTATTCGAGGAACAAAAAAAAAATCCATCCACATATTCGGGGGTATCTTACACGGGCAAAAATGAATAAAAAATAAAGTTATGTAAAAAAGATAAAATATGAAATTTGATTTTTTTTTTTTGCCTGGGCAAAAAATAAATTATATTTTCCACCAGTAAGCCGCAAACTTTGGTTTCCACGTAACATTCACAACAGATTACAAATGGATTAAGTATATAGATATGGAAAAGCCCATGGTAATTTTACCTTTTTTTAATAATTGGGTGAAACATTGGGTAAGTTTCCTCACTCCACACGCCTCTGATTTCCTAGCAGTAAGTAGGAACCCGATTGTTAGTTGATTGACAGATCACTTTTCCAGGGGATAATAATCCCTTAAAATAATAACAACAATAATTTGGTCACTCAATCAACAACTGTTTGTGTGACGCTGCTGTGCGCAATTGGCTGCTGTGTTTCGTCCACAAAATATACAGTCAATTCACTTTGCAGTATATTCCGTGAAGAGCTTTGAGATGTCTTGTTGATGTGATGAGGCGCTGTATCAAATGCAAGGATTATTATTATTAATATTATTAACTGAAGACTGATGGCAATCTTTAATGTGGAAGACAGTCACATTTATGTGGAAAGGCTCACAGCACTGAAGCTTATCATTATACTTTTAATTTTGCTGTAGAAGTATTCGACGTCAAGGACAATATCACACTACGTTAGTGTCCTTTCAGTTGGTAGGTTAGCTGGAATTATTGAATTAAGATTCACTTGATTATTTGTGGTAAGTGTATAACAATTCAAATAAAAAATCTGGGTTTGAAAGCAGGCTCCAGAAATTAATGGGTAACCTTAAAAACACACACACACACACACAAAAGGGGTCAGCAAACACACAGTGCATTCGTAAACTTCAGCAGCGATATTGATTTTAGACCATACCTAGTTGAAATGTTTAAGAGACGCAGAGTGAAAATTTAATTAAAATGAGCTTTTTTTCCCCCACAAAAATAATACACAGGCTGAAGGCTGATGGGTGGGAGGTGAGGGGATGTGAGAGGGGGGGCGGGGGGGGGGTAAACAGGAGCTGTATTTCATTCCTAGTTTGACTTTCTCAGTGCAGTTTAAAAAAAAATGCTTGTTAAACTTACATTATTTTAAGGGGAACGGGTAAAAAAAAAAAAGTACCAGTGCTTTGCAAACAGTTCGTTAACTGTATAAAATAAATGGGGAGGGAAAAAAAATACATTCAACGAGCGAGCGAGCCTATTCTGTTCATGCAGTCAGTTCGCAAGCTTCGAGACAGCTGCAACGTAAACTACTCCTTTTTTTTTCCCCAGAGACATTACCCCCGACATCAATCAGCTGTCCAAAAAAAAAAGTTGCACGTAAAAGCATAAAAGGATAACAAGAAGACAACACGAGAGAGAGACGATAAAAATACCACACATGCCAGCTAATAGTCATTCCAGAAATAACACTCACTCCACACACACAGACACACACACACACACACGCACACACGCACGCACAGAGTGCGTGGCTGTACTGTAGGAAAGGGAGTGACGACGTGAAGCTTTTGACTCGAGGGGGAAAAAAAAATTAGCAGCTCGCAGAAACTCGTTCCGCAGGTTAGCATACCAAAGTGTAATCTGACTTCCAAAAAAAAACAACAACCAAACAAGAAAAAAAAACCTTAATAATCTGCTTTCAGAGAGAATATAACAAAACTGAGGTAGAACAGAAAGCAGGTCACATTCCCTTCCATTGGGCTTCAGTACATCTTTGAGGAATGGTGTGTGTCTGTCTGTCTGTGTGTCTGTCTGTGTCTGTCTGTGTGTGTGTCTGTCTGTGTGTCTGTGTCTGTCTGTCTGTGTGTCTGTCTGTGTGTGTGTCTGTCTGTGTGTGTGGCTGTGTGTGTGTGTGTCGATGTAATCTAACAACCGAACACAACATTTTAGGTTTTTTTGTCTGTTTTTAGTACACTGAAAAAGCTTGTACACATTTGGATGTTCAGCTACTGTTTGTCCAGCAGATAGTCAACCAACTGCCTGGCCTGGCTACCACATGTAGCTAGTTCTGTGGCCTTTGGCTTCCAACTTTGACATGTAATGAATCCTTCCCCACCCCCAACCCAATAGCCAAACGCCTATCAACTCTAACGTTTGGGCCAATGGCTTGAAGGTCAATAGTCACAGAGGTCACAGCCAAATGTGCCTCTGAGATAGATATAAAATAGATAGATAGAGTAGTGAGCCATCAAATAAAATCTATGTTAAACTATTTTCCCCAAATACTTAATTATTAAAGTGGCTTTCAATTGACATGTGCACCTCCTTTGACTGGGTCGAACTGCGCTACTGTAAGATCACAACACATTATTGTCAGTTGCTAAACTTCACTAAGATGAAGAGGTGGATCTTACCCCCCGAGAGTTTGAAAGCAACCACTTTCGGAATAAGGATCCGTCGTTCTGTTAATGCCTAGGAACAGGTCAACAGAGTACAAAGTTCTGTACAGATCACTTCAGAATAAACCTAGATACATTCAAAGTCATCTCCTCGCCATTTTTTTTGAGGTAAACATACAGTAATTAAAATTAGTAATGAGAAACCCAGCTATGACTCTCAGCAGTACATAGTGCTTTCAACACATTCCTTTGAGGTACAAATCACAATCACTTTCCTGAGTATTTGCGGACAGAACATTAAAAGAACTGAACTGCTAACATTAAGGTCCAGATCATCAATACCCTGTTTTAACAGACAGGACTGAGGAATACTGTTGTTCTAAGAATGGCAAAAGCTGGCTAGCCACCTCCTATTACAACCGCTCATGTTTCTCACTCGATAAAACATTTTAGTTTTGTTTGGGAATCATTTCGTTAAAGCTCTTGTATTAGCACGTGCCACCCTAACTGATCTGTGAGGCAAAAAAAAAAAGATAAAGCACCACTTCAGGCACTTGACAGCAACTGAATCTCAAGAACAGCAGAATGGAATCAACACACAGGGTCCTTTCTCAAAACAACCCATTTTCCTCTTGCACCTCGATGAGCCTCGGCCTGGTTTGAGCGACAACTAGGCGTCGATATAAGCGTCTCCGTACACAGCTTACACCAGCAGCTCCCCACGGCTTGTTTTATGCTCTTCCTTCCAAGTTTTACCCTGACTCAGTCACACATACGCTAAGGTCACTGTTGTCTGTCTCCCTCACTCGGTACCTTTTTCAACTGTAAATAACTACCGAAAAAGGTTGGGGGTGGGGGGGTTGGGGCAGATTGGGGGATGGGGTATTGGGGTTGGGATAGTGGTCCCTATGCAGCACATTCTTGTGACCAATAATTGATCACTGTGGTATTCATAGGCTTTGTCATTGGCTGCAGCCAAACATTTTGTTCCATTCAACGTACACGTCCAGCTCTTTCTGCGAGACGCTGGGCTGAATCTTGCACAACGCGCTGTCGAAGTCTTGGTAAGTGACCGGCCTCAACTGGTTAGGCATGATGGCGGAAAGGTCTGTGGACTGCATGGCGTGGAGTGGGCCCAACACGGCTTCCTGACACAAGTGAGTCATATCCAAGCCAGAGAAGCCCTCTGTACGCTGTACGGTCAGTGCGATCTCCTTGTCACTGAGGCAGTAGTTGTGCTGTGAGAGCAAGTGTATTACCATCTGGTGCCGGGCACTGCCATCAGGCAACGGGATCAAGAGTCTCTTCATGAAGTATCTGCGTCCGGCCTCGTCCATCTCTTCTGGTTTGCTGGTGGTGCAGATGATCACCAGCTGGTCCTCTGCCGAGGTGACTGATGTGTCCAGCTGCATGAGGAGCTCGGTCTTGATGCGGCTGACTGGGCTGGGCTCCTCGCTGACCTCCGAGAAGAGGAGCAGATCCACTTCGCTGATGAAGATGACCGACGGCTGGCGACAGCGAGCCACCAGGAACGAGGCGTGGAGGATCTTGTCGCCTTCCCCCAGCCACTTGGAGATAAGTGCGGAGCCGCTGATCCTGCAGAAGGTGGCCCCCAGCTGACTGGCTATGCACCTGCCCAACAGAGTCTTGCCTGTCCCTCGAGGCCCAAAGAACAGGAGGCTTTTGGGCAACGCGCTGAGTCCCGTAAACACATCTGGCCTCAGTATGGGCCATAAAACCTCCTCTTTGATTGCGGCCTTGGCCATTTCCAGTCCCGCGATGTCGCTCCAGTCGACTGGAGGGCCCTGGTTGATGATTTCATTGGTGACCAGTTCGATGAGGTGTGGGTCTGCGTTCTTCAACTGCTCGTCTGGGAGCCTGTTGGATGAGGTAGCCGCACGGATTCCCGTGGCCTGTAAGGGATGAGGCAGGAGCTGTCTATGCTCCTCGCTGTGGTCGCTCATCACCGGCGAAGGGAATTTCCCGAAAGGTTCGCTCGATCTCGAGGCTGGGCCCAAAGAATTCTTGCTAGCGCTGTACGAGGGCGGGGTCAGCGCCCGGCCTGACTGGCTGCTGAACTTCCTTTGCTGGTCGACGACCATCAGCTGCTTGGTGGGTTTAAATGCTAACGATACCGACTCCACGCTCCTGTCAAAGCCGTTTCCCCGGCTCGCGTTCGAGACGCTATTGTCTGGCATCCGGTACATGGGGCTCTGTGCAGTCCGCTGCTGTACGTAGCTGTAACTGCCGTAGCTGGAGTCCAGCTCCCCCTGCCCCGCCATGTAGAAAGCTTTCCTCTTCAGGGAATGGGCCGAGCTGTTGCTGAGCGGGGACGGGGCGAGAGGTGACAGCCCGTGACTCTGATAGCTGTAACCGGGGACAGTGGTGGGGGGGAGGGGGGTGGGAGCAGGGATACCCGAGGGCAGATAAGTGGAGGGTGGGGGGGCACCACCCCCAGGACTGTATCCAGGGGTCTGCGGTGGGTAGCTAGCGGGGGGGTAGTTGTACACCGCTGAGAGGTTGGGGGAGCCTCCGTTGTAGCCTGGGACTAGGCTGGGGGGAGGCGGGGGGGGCGGGGGCTGGAGCAGGCCGGAGCTGTGTAAAGGTGAGGGGTGAGGTGAGGGATGGCCCGAGGCCGACTGGCTGCTGTAACTCGAGTGGAGGTAAGAGCCGTTGTAACCGGTGACGTAATCCTGAGACGTTCCCACGGGCTGGAGGCCGGAGTGAAGGCCTGGGACAGCGTGACTGTTACAGGTGGAGCTGGAGTAGCCCGACTCCACCCCGGGGGGGCTGCCCATCGTGCCACCGGAAGCATCCGCAGGTGTTGGGAGGACCGCGGTCAGCCCCGACTTGCTGACCGTAATCACGTCGGGCACACAGCTCATGGAGTACACGCTGTCGGAGGTGACAGCCGACTGCCACAGCTCGCTCTCATTTTTGCGTCCGTTCACCAGACCGGGCACCAGCTCGGAGTAGCTGTTCAACAAGCCTCGCTCGCCGGGGGCCTCGAGAATCCCCGAGTACTTCTCCGCGTATTTCTTGAGCAGGTTGGAGGCGGTGAGGGCGGAGATGTCGTCATTGGCCCAGGCGTACTGGTAGGTTCGCTGCAGGTGACCTCGGAACACGTCGACTTTGTGGGCCGGGGAGCGAGTGGTGGACGAGATGTCAAAGTGCTGTTCGGGCCACTGGCTGAGAGGCTGTGCGTGTTCTGGCGTCCACTGCATCTTCAAGCCTGCAAGAGAAGATGTTCGATCCTCTGTTAAATCATAATAATAATAATAATAATCCTTGCCTTTGACTCAGGGGTCAAAGATGTGTCAGACCAATGGTACCCCAATGCTGATACCCAGTTATAATAATAATAATAATCCTTGCATTTGATACAGGGCCTCATCACGTCTTCGAGACGTCTCAAAGCGCTTCACAGGATACACTGCAAAGTGAATTGACTGTATATTCTGTATATTTTTTCACCCTGCCCAGAAATCAAACACCCAGGTACCTCTGGCTTGTGAGGCAAGTGCTCTAACCACTGAGCTACAGGGCTCCACTAAACACCCGCTTGTTTCAAAATGCTGGCCGTCAGCGACTAATAGAGCCTCCGTCTCAGTGAAAGTGAACGATTCAGTATCAATGATAATGTTGTCACCTCATGTCACCTTATGTATTAAAACTTTTCCCTCATTCTAAAAGGTCCCCTCTCGCAGGTGAAGTTCCCTTCAATTCCACCATCATTACATTTCTGCTCGGCTAGGAGGCAGCGGAAAACAAGCCAAGCCACTTGTGTGAAAAATGTTGCTTCCCAGCACAATCCGTCAGGAAGGGATTTAACTTTCCGCCCCACAGACTGAAACCAGGGGCTTTGGTCATCCCACCAGCTTCTCTGCTTCGCCCCAGGCTCCTGGCAGGTACTCAAGGGGCAAAGTGCGGAGGTCAACAGCAGGAGATCTTAGAATGTGTGCCACTGATACCACTTCCCTGTTGGCCAAAGTTACACCCATTCACAAGGGATTTGGGGCAATATTTCTGAGCTTTGTCAGCTTCCGCTTACCTACACGAGAGGCAAAGGGCAAAGTAGACCATAAATATGCTTCACATTTTTTTAAATCTTTGCCCAACTGCTCAATATTTTTTAATGAATCAACATTAATAATAATAATCCTCGCATTTCATATTGCGCTTTATCCCGTCTCAAAGCGCTTCACAGAATATATTGTATATATTATATTATATAAAGTGGTTGGACTGTGTATATTTGTGGGCGAAACGCGGGAGCCAATTTCGCACAGCAGCGTCCCACAAACAGTCGTGGTTTGAATGACCAATTATTATTATTTTTTTTCCAAGGGATTATTACTCCCATAAAGCGATCCATCAATCGACTAACAACCAGATTCCTACTTACTGCTGGTATACAGAGATGTAGGAAACTTGCCCAATGTTTCGCCCTGCCCGGGAATCAAACCCAGGTCCTCTCATTTGCGAGGCGAGCGCTCTAACCACTGAGCTACAGGACTCCATAAAGACATCAATCATAGGCAATGCTGAATTAATTAGAAAAATATCTGATAAGGTTCCCTTGATGGGAGTCCCGGTCAGTGCAATGTACTGTATAACATTAAAGCCATACAGACAACAACAACAAATTACACTTGGATAGCGTCCTTCATGTCGGAAATACAGCCCAGGAGATTGGACAGTCAGGGCTTTTTTGGACCTGAACTGGGAGAACACAGGTTTGAATCCTGATTTGAAGCTAAGTTAATTGATCTTAGCTGTGGTAGCAGTTGAAGATGCTACGATTGGCCTTGGTGTTGTTGGACTAGCACTGGGAGCAATCAGCCGGAGCTCCTGTTGCTGCTACCCTGACCGCGTTGGACTGTGTGAGTGTGTAGACGTCACCATTGGGCTGAGCTGCGAATGTCCTCCATGAATTCCTTGTCGAAATTCACACAGAAAAGAAGACTACTTTGATGAGGTACCAGAGGACTTGACTGCCCATAAAACTTTACCTCTAGCTTCTGTAGGAGGGAAGACATTTTGAAGCGGGGGGGTGGGGTGGGAATAATAAGAGAAAAAAAAAAACCTGCACTGATTTTCTTCACCGTTGATCCTGTTACACTAATTATCGTGAATATTAAATATTTTTCAAAACCTTTTCAGAGAATGCCCGAGAATGTGCGTGTTAACGAAACACGACAGGTAGGGGTAAATTTGGTATTATTTATATATATATAAAAAAAGACTAAAACCAACATTAATTACTACAGCTCACGCTAAAGCCTGAAATAGAAAAGTAATCAACATGACTACATTTGCTGTCTACCTCCCTAACAATTGTTTGACTTTCCTCTCCTGATCTAAAATAGGAGACACAGCTGACATATCACTTGGAGGATATCTTTCTGAATTTATCCTGAAGACCTAGTTAGCACAGTGTAATGCACCCCCGTGCAGAACAATATGACACAGACATTTCGGGTCATTCTATAATCCAACTCTCATCTGAGCAGTCCGAGACAGTTTCAAATCTGCTTCCCAGAGAGCAGTAAAGCAATCTCCCAGGCAGCGCTCCATCGCTCTCATCACACAAAGCCTACAACTCCGCATGAATTACAACTGGCCCTTTCGCTCCTCAGTCCTGTTGTCGAAGCTCTGAAAAAAAAACAACGTCACTTGTCTGCCAGTCCTCTTTCTTTTAACAGCCTTCAGGGTACAAAAGGCAACCGGGGGCAGTTTAATCCTCCGGTTCTCTCTCTCGCACACACACACACAACACCAGAGACACGAAACACTGCTGCGTACATCGCTGAGCAAAGATATTAAGTTTACTTTCTATCGATACCCACATTGTGTAATATCGTTCTATTTTATTCCCTCAAATCCTAAAATACACAGAGCAAATTCCACCCCCCCACCACACACCCACGCCTCCACTCACCACCCCCCAAGAAAGCTTCATCTAACTGTGTGTGTAAAAGTCTTACCTGAGTATGACAAACATTACTGATTTGGGGACAGCTGTATCAACAGGCTCTCTTAATCTTGATCATATTACCAAAAGTGATTTCTCACAAACAAGTCCCAGTGTGCCCTCTGGCACTGATGCTGTGATAAGGGGGAGCGCTTGCTGCAACAAAACATCTGTGCCATTGCTCTACTCTGAATTATTACTGTCTTTCCAGCTCCCACCCCCTCCCCGTCTCCTCCCCCTCTTTAGCCGCTCGCATGAGGCATCAGATCCCGCTGCCAGAGACTGGCTCTATTAAAACAAATGCAACATACTGTTTGCTTGGGGAGAGAAGAGAACAGCATGCTGATTCCCACCTGACATCACTCTCCAGCACTAACAAACCACTGCACCAGACACTGGGAGCTAATTAACAGGATGATGTGCTGCTAATTGTGTTAATTTACAAGGTTTAATTCAAAGGAAATCACAATATAGTTGGCATTTCTGTCAGGTTTCCAGCTTAGCACCGGAGAAATGTGAGGGGAATGAGAGGCCGGCATGACCACCATTTCTGGTTGAAAAGGCAATGAAAGGATCTTGTGTGTGTGTGTGTGTGTGAGAGAGTGAGTGCACGTGTGTGTGCATGCGTGTGTGCGTGTGTGAGGGTAAAAGATTGCATTGTTGGTGGAGAAATGTCAGAAGATGATCACAGTCAACCACCGCAGACACAAAGTAATAAACGGTCAATGCTAGAGCTTTTTATTTTAATAACAACAGTAATAATCCTCGTATTTGATACAGCGCCTCATCACATCTTCGAGACGTCTCAAAGCGCTTCACAGGATATACTGTAAAGCGAACTGACTGTATATTTTGCAGGGGAAACGAAACGTTAAACTCGCCAAACAGTTTAAATCTCATCGATATTTCTGATGCTTTACGCTGCAATTAGCGTCGGTAATGAAGTCATTATAAGCAGCCACAGTTCACTAATTCTCATGTTGCCTAACAAAATTTACGGTATGATGCCTGTGGCATATGTTTTCAAGTAGATTGCTTGTCTCGTGTTTTATCTATTGGACTGATAAGCTTCTTTTTAAGTTTAATTATGAATATTGAGTAGAATAATAAAAGCCCATTTTCTCTGTGCAGTCGTAGGAACTTGGCTATATTTATAGGCCTGAGATATAACATGGACTTCAAGCATTGGATTAACTGCCTCAAAGGCAAAGTTTGAACAAATAATAATGAACGTAACTAACAGTGTCGGGTTAATCGATTCTAATTTCAGAAGGATGAAATGATTGGCAAGTTTCTTTACTCCACACGCTTCTTTGTACGTAGCAGTAAGTAGGAACCTCTTGTTAGTCGGTTAGCGGATCACTTTCTGGGGGTAATCATCTCTTCAAAAAATAATAATAATAATTTGGTCGTTCAAACCACGACTGTTTGTGGGACACTGCTGTCTCGAAGATGTGATAATCATAATCCCTGCATCTGCGCTTTTCATGTCTTCGAGACGTCTCAAAGCGCTTCACGGGATACACTGTAAAGTGAATTGACTGTATATTTGTGGGTGAAACGCAGCAGCCAGTTACGCACAGCGTCCCAAGGCGCTATATCAAATGCAAGGATTATTATTATATAAAAGAACAAAGTGCTTTTTTTCTCCATCTCTTTGTTTTTCATGTGTAGGTCCAACTGCAACAACAAACATCAATTTGCTAAATGAAATGGAAACTGAAAATTAAATTAAAACGAACCACATACAAAATGACTTGCCTCGAAATCACTCAGTCATAGCTTGAACTGTGGCTTGACGGGTTTCTGCCCAGGCTCTCTGTGGATATGGACAAAGCTTAACTGTTTGCAAGTCCAGTTTCACTGCAAACATTTCAAGTTATGGACACAAGTATTACCCATGTGCTAAATTCCCCGCTCCACATAAGTGCTACTATTAACATTTAAACAAGGAAAGAGGGTAGTCAAGTGGCCTGGGCTGGAGGCACGGGTGGATTATTAATTTAGTGTTGGGCTCTATTCCTGTTGGGTGCATATTACGAAAGTATCCCAAGACAGCCAACTGTTTGCATTGATTTATTTAGCTTCTGGCAGCATTTGAGCAGCCTCTCTCTCTCTCTCTCTCTGCTCTTTGTAAAAAAATCCAGAATCCAGCAACGAACTACTGCTGTTATGGTGCCTTCTGCACACCGGGAGCAAAGTTCATTCTGCTGCAGGAAATGCTGAGGCTTGTCATCAGAGAGAGAGCGAGAGAGAGA